AAGAGAAAGCAGCAGCAATGAAACCCCAGTAAACAAGCTTTGATGTGAGATCTAATCTCACATTTCTCCACACAGCCCAAAGCTTCCCTGCACTATCACAAACTACAGCAGCTCACTTGAAAGGTATTAACCTCATTTAAAGCTACTGCAGGAATCACACACAGAATTGCTACAGGTAGGAGTTTCTGACATCCACCCCAAACCTGTGCCTCGTGTGGTGAATTCACAAAATGAGGATTTTATATTTCCTTCCCCACCTGGCAGCTGCTCTAAATGCTCATCAGAACTTTGAATATAACTTCAAAAGTGGCACTTCCACGTTTACCACGCTGCAAACAAGATTAGGCAAATCTATTTGGATCATCTCCATTTTGTCTTTGTTTAGGGAAGCCAAGTTTGAAACAGCTATTAAAAATAGCTATCCCATCATCTAAATCCTTGTGTCCAATAATCTGGAGAAACATCCCAGAGCTTATTACAAATACCTTACATTTCAAAAGCCCTGGCAGCAGCTACCCCACAAATACAGTTTTAATCTACCAACCTCAGTGATGCAGAGATAACCTTCATCCCAACCCAGGATTAGAAGATGCTGTGATACAGATTTATCTCAGGATGGAGGTCTGCCATTCATGCACTGACTGCAGTTCAGAGATATCAGAATCATCAGCCTTTTCTCATCAGGTTTAAAAGGCTGAAGTCTTGAGATCCCAACTGAAGATTGTGAGACCGAATTCCAACATCCCCAGCCATGCTCACATCTTCTGCCCTTCCTTTTCCCACTAAGCCATGCAGTTCTCCCCTCCTTTTCCTGGAATTCCCTGGTTTTTTTCAGGTGTTTCTTGTCCCCTGAGCAGGAACTTTAGAAATAGTTCAGTACCAGATTTCCACCCACTCCAGAGGCCAGGATTTCCACACAAAAGCCATTTTTGCTAGGAAAAGGCAGGGTTTGTGAGCTGATGGCACAGCGCTCACGAGCAGCAGGTGCCCAGGCCAGAGCAGGCACTCACCATGATCTGGATCTCCCTCTTGCAGACCTGCAGGTCGTACTCGTTATTGACATACATCCTCTTCAGGGCACACTTCACCCCATTGCTCGTCCTCACCAGGAACACGATTGCAAAGCCACCTGTGGAGGACACAAAACCACCTGCTCATTAACCAAAACCCCCTTTGTTGCCAGCCCTGTCCCTGCCAGGGGACAGCAGCAGGGACAGGGACAGGGGACACTGAGCAGCCCCTGCTGGGGAAATGCTCCTTCCCTGCCCCTCTCCCAGCTCTGCCTGCATATTTTCTCCAGGAACTCACAGGGATCCAAGGGGGCAATCTTCAATTAATGGCCACCAAGTTAACACCTCACATCTCCATAAAAACAAGCAATTACACCGGTTCCTGGTCCTGCCAGACAATCCTTCATTGCTCCATTAATTCCCATTACGAAGAAGAAAGCAGAAGGACAGCAATGCTGCCTTGGACAGAAATCAGAGCTACAGATCACCCGCTGAACCACCAAAGGCCTAAACTTAAAAGGCTCTGCAACTTTGAAGCATCTAAGTTACATTACAAAGCTGATTTGTGCAAGAAGCTAAAGAAACATCTCCCACATGCAGTTTGATGTTAATGCTTTTACATCAGGACAGAAGAACAAGGGAAAAACCCACAATTCATTCTGTGGTCAGTGCTATTAGTGAAGTCAGGATTCCCAGGATAAATGGACTTGTTTCAGATGAAGGCCCTTCACACAGTTCCACGGATGTGCTTGTGCTCGTGGTTATTCAGCACCTCCATGGGCTGCCCCATCCCACCATGCCACACTTGGGTGAAATTTACTGACCAGGAAAGAATGAGAATGAGCAAATAACCAGACACCACTGCTGTGTGTAATGTACAACCCTCCCTGGTTGTTTTCAATGGTTTTTATGACATTACACCTCGACACAGGAGTTGCACACACGGGGCTCAGCAGCAATCTCCCCTGGCAGTTTTACACAGCACAGCCACAGCACCAGGGCATGCTTTCCCAGGAAACCCCACTGACCTCCAGCAGCAGCCCCAGAAAGACGGGACACAAAGAAGAAACAAAACAAAAAGCACTTCTCCTCCCTTCCCCCCCACAAAAAAAATACAAGCATCATCAAGACTTCAATTAAATGTGTGAAAACTGCAGCCAGGCTGCAAAATGGGCACTCCAAGTGAGAGAAGTGGGCCATGGCCCTGGGATGCAGCAGCCACAGCTGCTCCAGCCCCCTCCAGCTCCGGAGGGGCCTCTGTGCACAGCGCTCGATTCAGACCCAAAAATAACCCTGACTCTCCCTGAAGCTGCTGCAAGTTGAGGATCTCAAATTACAACTCATTTTTAAGGGCTCCTGAACCCACAGCAGCAGCCCCATTGTTCTCCCCAGCCACGTTTGTCTCGTTTCTGGAGAGCAAACCTGCACATCCCGCTGTGAATCTTCAGCCCAAAGGGTGCCTGTGGAAAAGAGTAACACAGCACTGCACTGACTTTTCTTCCCCCTCTTATACCCCACAATGGAGCCAGGAAGAAATAAAGGACCATAACCAACACCATTTCCCCAAACCCTACTTTGCTAACAGCCTGTATTTTTCAGAATCATTGGAGAGATCAGGTTTGGAATCCTTTTTTTAAAATTTCTGTACAGTATCTCCATGGATCTCAGAAAAATACTAGAGGGAAAAAAAAAAACAAAAAATCCCCCAAAAATACCACAAAAACCCCAATAATTGTTTTTTCAAAGTTTATTACGGTCCCAATTTTGGTTTTGGTAATAACAACACCTTTGGGTTTCCCTACCCCCAAAGTGAGCAGCTCCACCCCAGGGCTCAGTTCCCTTTTCCCAGCTCTGGCCAGCAGGACAGGGCATCTCCATTTACAGTGCTGTGCTCAGCAGAAAGAAACACAAGCTGAGCAGCAAAAATACATCAAAAATACATTTACCTTATCTTTTAACTGCTGACAGCTGCCTAACCCTTCCTCCTCGCCCACTGCACATGTACAGCACCACCAGCACCTCCTCAGCCTCCAGAGCTCCAGACCACAACCAATTTCTCCCTCATTATCCCAGTCCAACCCCCAACTTGGCTAAATCCTGGTAAAGTTGAAAGGAAACGGATCAAAGACAAATTTACAAGCCATTATGATGGAGCCCTGCCAGATGCACATTACAGGACCATTTTCTCCTCTTCTCAGAGAGCAGCAAGACAGCGGCGGGCACACAGAGACGATGATCCTGGGATGGGAGAGCCAAGGTCGGCTCGGGAGCCTGTGCCACACTCAGGCACAGCTCAGAGTGCTCGGGCACCAGGAACGTGCCCATCTCTCTGCTGGCAAAGCCTCCTTCCCAGGGCACGTGGGGAAAGCAAAGGCACGGGACCAGCGCGGGCTTCGGCTGCAACAGAGGAAATAAATCCAGGAGCAAGAGCTGAGCCTGAGCGTCGCCTCAGAGGACAGCTCTCCCCTGCACGTGTGCCTCTGATTTAAGGTTCTGAGGGAAATTCAACTCTCTTCCCCCAGCAGCCAGCAAAAACTAAAATACCCATTCTAAAATGTGAGAAGTCATTTCTGTGCTCACCCTTAAGACATATGAATACTGTTGAGCAGGCAGCACACAGGCAGCACTGGGATCACCATCAGCTCAGAGCCACCACCAGCTACAGGGCTCTCTCTGGGGAAATTTTTTTTGTGTCTCTTTGGTGCTTTAGGCCTGCCTGAGCTGCATAGGAACATGGTTATCAAGCCACACACTGCTGCCTGACTGCTGTTCTTGCTAAAGGGTTTCAGGATAAGCTGAAAAAATACTGGGAAGTTCCAATTATCTCCAGTCAATACAGATGCCAGAGCAATTTTCCATGCAGGTTTGTGTCAGGGCACTGGCCAGCAGCCAGCTCTGCTGGTTGTGTTTTCAGCCCTTCTGTAATTTCAGCAGGATGCACGGCTCCTCACAGCCAGGCAAGCACTGCTGAGCCAGGTGAGAGCAGCTGCAGGTGAGGAGAGAGCTGTGCTGAGCTCCAGGTGAGGAGAGAGCTGTGCTGAGCTCCAGGGATTTGTGGTGGGTTGGAGATGGCATGGTCCTGCAGCCAGCAATGCCAGGCAGGCACAGCACTGCTGCTGCAGGGCACCAGTGCAGCCCCTGATCCCC